CTCGAACATTTTGAAAAAAAATTGTGAAAAACGGTAAAAACCGCGAAAAGCGATATGGAGGAGTGATAACGCCGCCGCGATTTCCCGCCATTCGTTACTTTACTGTCCCTATCGGTGTGGCGGTGCGGATTTTACTGTCCCTATCGGGGGACCCGAACTCCTCCCCCGGGGGGGATAGGGGGTCCGGGTTTGCGGTGGCTGGTCGGCGCCCTCGAGAGCCGCTAGGGTTGCGTCAAGGGGGCAAAATTTTTTTCCCGGAACTCTAGGAGCAACCGTTGGGGAGTTACGGCCGAAAAACCGTGGGGACCGTAGGGGGTCTTCTGGCTGGACTTTAAAAAGCGATAAGGAGGAGTGATAACGCCGCCGCGATTTCCCGCCATCCATTCCATTGTTCACTATAGCAGCTACACCCCCAGACCCCCGTGACCGGACCTCGAGTGTTGTCGATTTCGGAAGCAGCGGTGGTCTCGTGGTGTGCTCGTGGATCTCAGCCGACGCGGTGTATGGGTGATGTGGAGATCTGGTGATAAGGACATTGGATTTGTGATAAAAAATAGTGATAATGATATTGGATTTATGATAAGGATAGTGGTTTTGTGATAAAAAAGTAGTGATAAGGATATTGGATTTGTGATAAGGATAGTGGATTAGTGATAAGGATAGTGGATTTGTGATAAGGATGTTATATTGGTGGATGTTAGGGGAGGCCGTATTAATCCGGAAAATAAATGGGCGGAACGTATAAATTCCGGACCGTAAAAATCCGGAACGTATATCTCCGGAATCCAAAAGTGAAAAACCGTATTTGGCCGGAACGTATACCTCCGGAATTAAAAAAAATACTAAACCGTATTTGCCCGGAACGTATTTATACGGACCGTATAATTCCGGAACGTATATCACCGGAATCCAAAAGTTAAAAACCGTATTTTGCCGGAACGTATACCTCCGGAATTAAAAAAAACTTATAAACCGTATTTGCCCGGAACGTATTTATCCGGAACGTATATTTACGGAAAGTATTGTAAATTGCCTATTTGAAACCCCTGAAAAAGAAAGTTGAGAACTTAATTGCTAGATCTTTATTGCCAGTAGCCTAGGTTGACCCGAGCTTTCATTGTTATCAATTAATATTCTTATTGTGTTCATTTTTATTTATTACAAAGATAATATGTGATCACTGATCATAATTTGGTCACATTAAATTATAAGAAATTGTGTATAAATAAAAATAAATAATTCCCATAACAATATATTTTTTATTATTCTTCGTGGTCAATGGAGCGATGAATATGAATTTACTTTACAATAATGTGTGTTTTTTATTTAAATCTGTTTGTAGTTAAAATAAATGCTCTGTAACTTAGGTTAGGTACCTACCAAAAAATTAGACAGTTTTCGCTCAGAATCATTTCTTGTCGTGTGCTTTAAATTTAACACATCCATTATAGTTACATACTCAAATATTTAATGATGAGACACATTTGATACCTACTGCACAGTAAAGCTGTTAAATACTTGACGAATTTTTATAATCATTGCATATTTAAAAAAACAACTTTTTTCAAAACATATATTTATACCTTCACAGAGTTGTATTAAATAATAATTAACACGTATGTTGTATGACCACGACAAGATGAACGCGTAATTTGTTTTTAAGTAAGTAAATATTCGAACGCTGTGGACCATTCAGTACGCTTCAGAACTATAGAATTTGGAGTTTAAAAATAAGATGCAGATACATTAACAAATTACCATATTACATACCATATTATGAGAGCTCGATGGATATTTTTTAAAATAGTTTACACAGGCAATCTGTTTAATTCATTAATTTATGAAGTTCCTGTTTAATTGGCACATGCAGTTAATTTTTCCAACAATATATATTATTTATTTATTTAATCATCATAAACATTACATTGATATATAATATAATATTATATGATGTTATAATAAAATAGGATGATGTAGCCAAAAAAATGCATAGTATCATAAGTACAACAAATATATATTTATATTATTATTTATTAATAACCAAAAAGGTTTTATATTCATTTTAATTGTATCTTAAATAGGTATAAATAAATTCTTATTCATAGGTAGGTATTGCATTAAATAAAAAAACAGTCCAGTTTAGATATTTTGATGGTTGAAAAAATAGTAGAAAATTGTAATATATTTTAAAATATTAAACATGTAAAATACCTAACTATGTATTATTTGCTTGGAAATTTAAGTTTTTAATGCCTTATTGGCTAATACTAACATATTATTATTATTATAACGTCTTATCATGTTAATATTCGTATAATAACAATTAATACGTTGTATTTTAATTTTTAACTGTCCACTATTCCTAAATAGGAACCTTTTTTTTTCATGTATAACCACTACATGAGGGCCGTACTGTTTTCACATTGCTTGGCACTAATTTTATTCTTAAATAGGTACCTAATTAACAGGACAATAACGATTTTTGTAGATTTCGAAACATTCCAATGATTTCTTATGATACATTTTCACTGATTTGAGAGTTCTCATAAGTGAGCATTTTGGTTATTTTGTGTTTAGAATGTTTGTCGTTTGGATATTCATAATTACGGCCTTAGAAGGCCGTGTTCGTAATATAATTTGATAAGAAAATTATCACGTGTTGCTTATCAATGTTTAACAAATTGTTAATAGGTCTATGTTTTATACCACGAATTATACCAGTGATCCAGCCGTGACGCCAATGGGGAAAAAAATATCTAGATACTCGTTACATATTTATCGCTCGTTATCACTTGTTTCATTATTGGAAAGTGAATATCGTTGGTGCATTGGGGAGGTCAAAATTTAAAATTTCCAGTACTTTTCAAAAGCGCCAAGAAAAATAAAAGAAAAATTAAGGAAAAACGGGAATTTTTACGCAAAATCGATTTTTCAGAAAATTGAATTTGGTTTTTGGTGTAACTTTAAAACAAATGACCGTAGATACATGCAATTTCCACTGGTTGTTTATATTTGCATTTTCTATACACGATAACATTTTCAAAATATTTTGATTTATTTTGAACTGTTTAGGGACATTTTCATTTTTCATTTTTTTTTCTAGAAATATCAATAAAATTGTATTTTTTGGTTAAAAAAACTTGAAAATTTAATAGTTCTAAAGTGTACTATTATATATCTATGATAGTATCAGGGTTTGTTATTGATGTTGATGTATAACGTGTTATAAGTACCTAATAGATATTGTGATAATGTGATATGATTAATTTGGAATTTATTATAGGTCAATTTTTTTTTTTAATACCATAGATATGTATATAATTTGTCTTAGATCTAGACTGACATACCGTCTTCGCTCAGAATCGTTTTTCTTATACAATGATATTGTATCATTGAATTCAAATTTCATAGCACCCATTATACAGTGACCCACTTGTAACCTACTGTACAGCAGAGCGACATCCACTTACCCACCTTTTTTTTAGTTGCTATTAAAATTATTTTTAACTTTTCTGAAATATAATTCAGAATACTTTCATCATTACTTTATTGAAAAGTAAGTACCTTCCACTTTATTATACTTTCTAGATGGTCTAATACTCAATTTATACCTAAAAATCTACCTACCTTATGTATTCAAAAATGTAATAAAATGATTTTAATAAATACATTTTTTTGTGAAATTTTCAAATTATGAACTTCAATATATTTCTAAAACATAACATTTTGTACAAAATATTGTTTTACCTTGAATATGCTTTTATGTGCTGAAAATTGTATATCAGTTTATTGGAAATTTAATCGCCGAAAAATATTATCCAATTGGAGTTGCATACTTTCAATAAAAAAATGTTAAAACAGAAAAATCCAGGCCTACTTATAACCAATGTTTTGAAAACCTATTATATCAAGTTTATAGTAGGAATAAAGAACAACACATTACATTGGTGAACACATTATCAATTTATAAACATATATACTTACATCAATCATGTCAATATAATGTTTATCAAAAAATGTATTTTATCATAATTATTTATACATTTTAAGTGAATAATATATTCCATATAGTTTTAATTGGAAAAAAGTATTTTATTGGAAAGTGTTCAATAGAATAAATTACACTTCAATACTTTTTGATAAACAGTATTTAAAATATGAACTTATTCAATACTTGTAAAAGTATTTTAATACTAATGCTCAAATACTTTACAACACTAACTATAATAAGGTTATAAGCTAAAAAATCAGTGTATAATGCCCCTAGCTGAAGTGTTTAAATTTAAAAAAAAAGCGGGAAACGTTTGGACGATTAATGGCTGCTATCACACCAGTAAGTTGGCAACTCTCTCTATATCAAGGCTCTCTACAGCAAGGTTGTATCAAATATCAATACACCTTGGAATACAGTTATTAGCACAAATATGGAACGAGTATATAATAAAGTTGTTAACACGTTAAATGTTTTAAATATTCTTGACTTCAATCAATCGTAATTTACCAAAAAAATATTGAAAATTTGACATTTTGACCTATCAATAGGCAATTTACAGATGACCAATGGATATAGTAGGTTTTAACAAATGTTACCAGTTTAAGGGCGAATACTGATTGAAACACAGACATGTCATATTGTGTACTGCAACATGAATATAAATATGAAAAACAATAATATTTTAGGTAATAAACTATTCTTAATTATAATTTCCAGATTTGTTTTTGTATTATTTTTATTGTTTATTTCAAAAGGGTACTATAGATGAGGTAGGTGTATTTATTTTTTCATATTTATTTTATGTTTTGTTGGACAAAACTATATTTTTTAAAATTGAAAAAAATAAATGTACCCTTTTGATATGACTGTATAATATATTATAACTACAATGTAACTTTATAATAATAATCATTTTTTTAAGTTATTTATTATCAATTGATTTTTATGTCATATTGTATAGTATTGTTTGATGAACAATTTAATATTTCAAAACTAGAAGAAAAGTTTAGTCTAAGAAAATTCTTTGAAAAGTGACTTCTTCCATTCGACATAAAGGGCATCTTGTTGATGCTGGAAGCGATGTAATGCAATTGTTGCAAACCCATGCATGACCACAAGGAATAACAATATACTGTTGAATATTTGCTGCTCTTGCATTCAAACATACCATGCACGTTGACACTTGTGGAGCTATAGGCAGTTGTGGTTCCTGAATAGGCTGTACAACAGCAGCAGCTTCCACTTCTGGCTCAGAATTTGGTTCTACCTCATTGATCCAATTTATATGTCGAGATATATATCTTGATGTGGTATACGAAGTCAATTGCATAAACTGCCACATACTTATGATCCCAGCATCGTATTGACTTGTGGCATTTTTAAGTCTTTTGGATTGTAATAAATATTTTGCCTTCAAACTCCTAGTAGGTTGAAGATTATTTTCAAGCTGCCTCATTATGATATGGTAATTATTAAATAAATTACTCAAATTACCTATAAGAAAAATTCTCTAAGTAAATTTCAGAAACATGAATTATCAGAAGATGCATACTTATTTGTTTGGTAATTCATTATATAATATAAATTACATTGTAAATTATATTATAAAATATTTATCACAATCCATACATTTATATAATTAGTATTTTCAGTTTACAAACGTTAAAAAATCAGTTTTATAGTTTAAAAGTAGTATTTAATTAATAATATTGATTAACATACTTAAAAATATCCATAAATATTGGGATGAGTCACTGAAAATTGTATTCTTAACTTATTGTGGAAACTTTCAATATTATTGTTTGTACGCCTAGGAAGTCCATGAACTGAAATTATCTGAGTTCCCACACGGCGCAACCAATACCTAGTTAAACACAGGTATAAATATATAATAAATAAGTTTTATTTATGGTGTTCAAATATTCAACTGTACCTACAGTACAAACATTACAAACCAAGTATATACTTAATAAGCTACTATAAGTAATTAGGTTTAGGGTATAGATATTCACCTTTAAATGAATCTAAATATATGTTATAAAAGTCACTGTGATAGTAAAATACAAAATATACATAAAAGTTTCAAGTTACTACTAACAATTTCTTTTGAATCATTAAAAAAAAATACAGTTCATCTACTTTGTTTAAATATTGAATTTCGTAAAAATTTGAACTTCAAATGGGTACAAAAAAAATGTATTTTCCTATCGGATCATCCATATTTATTAGATTTTTAAATTTCAATTAGAACTACTTATGAACAACCATATATTATACTTTTTAACAAAAAATCAAATTTATAACATTGATAAAAAAAAAATGCTAATAAAAGAAAAATTATACTATCTACAAATAGCAAAAAAACCTTTTAAATATTAAAAAAATGATACTATGAAGTTTTACTTTTAACCACCTTATTCCCAAAGTACCGATTTGATCTAATTTTCTTCTAGAAAACCCCTTTAAAGACTGAGTTAGAGTAGAACATCTAAACATTTTATCTAAAAGATTATGACAGAGAAAAAAAACATAAAACCATTATACATCAATAGTTTCACAACAATCCAATATGTATTGATTTTTAAATATTAACAACTAATTACCTCTCATAATAGTCAAATAAATTATGCATTGCTACTCCATGGTTGATTGCATACATCTTAATTAATTGAAATGCTCTTTCTATATCCTGATATGGAAGCAATGGAAGGCCAAATAAAAGCTTTAAGCTTTGCAGTGCAAATTGGTTAGTATTTACAAGCCTATAGTATCCTTTACTTTTCATATTTTTAAAAACTGCCTAAAAAAATATTTAAATATAAATAACTTAAGTATACTAATCATTAAGCGAAAATGTAATTAAAATAAAAATTTGTATTATTTAGGTAGGTACTTGATTATGGTGGAACCAACAACCAGATGTTCGAGCTTCAGGGAAATATGATTGTAGAACATCTCTAAGTGTAGATTCATAATCACTTATAATAATCCTTGGAGAAATGTTTGCTAAAAGATTATCTTTGACATATCGAAATACACTGTCATATGAATTTCTAGACTTCGATTCCATTAGTGCGAATATAATTGGTATTGACTATAGATAAATAAATTAATTAATGAACATCAATTTAATAAATACAATTGTAAGTTAAATTTTTGTTTTAGGTATAATATACTTACATAATTTTGTATCATAGCATGTACGCTCAATAATTGATAGCCCATGTTTACTGGAACCACTTTAAAAGTAGCGTCTACATGAAGCTCCTCAATTCCAGTTCCAAATAAACTTTGTGACAAAATTGGACATGCAAATATCAGGCTAGTTTTACCATCAAGGTCACGAATACAGCTCCTAAATATTGTAATGTCACAGCAATTGTATCTTTGAAGATGCCCATTATCAAATAAGGTGGCTAGTTCCTGAAGGCTCCCCGGCAATCTAGGCATTACTGACCTACGGGCCAAACGCATTAAAGATTCAGCTGTAAGCCATGGATATAAACTAGCTGCTATCGGATGCCTAAATCAATAAATAAGTATATGCAATTGTAATTAATTTTTCAATAATAAAACTTCAAAAATTTACCTTAGGCACTCTTCGTCATAAATTTCTTTTAATAAAATATTTTCAGTAGCAGCTCTTCTTTTTAGTACTGCTTTTAAAGCATCTACTAATTCAGGGGTATCATCTAAGCGCTCATGATTAGAGTGAGACCTCATCACTATTAGTGTTCCGTCGACCATCTTTTTCATGGTTCCAGGACAAAAGTGCATAGTCCTTTTGCTACATTTGTAATAACTATTGAATAACAATATACAATATTTATAATGAGCTACAAGAATTCATATAAGTTATATTTTCTAATAATTAAAAATTTAAAGCAAAAAAAAAATTTGTTAAATATAATATAATATTAGGTACTATGTATTTCAAAATAATAAAAAGAATTGAGAGTTAAAAAATAAAAGTATTAACAGTCAATCCACACACATTTAAGCACACCAAAGAATAATTTAATTAAAAAATTATTTTAAAATATCAATTTTATAATATCATAGTATACACAATATATTTTGTTATATTTAAAAATTATTTAATTATATAATTATTAGATTTTAGATTCTAATAGAAACAATGAATGTATTGATTTTGCAATGGTGTGATATTTATTTAATTTTGTTGTGTTTGTTTGGATAATCTATTGTAGAAAAATAGATTCGATAAGGGGTGGCGCTACACTGTGGCCAGGGCGGGCAAGTGCCCCCCCCCTCTATAATTTAATGCTGAACATTTTAATCTAATCTGAAAATGCATATTATATTGCGTATTTTTTATCCTAATAATTTGTAATTATTTATATTCATTTAATACTAATAAGTAATAAGTAATAACTAATGGTATGTTGATATTTAGATATAGGTAATCATAATAATTAAATTAAATAAATAATAATGCTAACAAAATAAAATATAAATTGCATTTATTGATTTTTATTTTAGTTTAGTAAATATCAGCATGATTAACTAACAATTAATTTAAATTACCTTATAACCCAATGAAATATACCTACATGAACTTGGAGGTACATTTTACAGTCCATGGATTAATTTACAAGTTGAAAGTTAGTGAATTTCAACTGCTACTAATTCTTAAATTTACTTACTCATAAGTATAAATTTCAACTCCTGGTGACTAATATGTACTTACAAGTCAAATAGGTTGGTTAGTTTCAACCAATATTAATTGTTAAATTTACAAATAGTATGAATAAGTAAATTTCGACTATGACTTACTGATAACTTTACACACCAAATAAGTTAATAAATTTCAACTTTAAAAGAATGTAAATTTGCAAGTTGTAAGTTGTGTAAATTTACCCACGACATTTTTTACAGTGATATTTAGATATTTAAAAAGGCCTCTCTGTATATTATGTTAAATTGCAATGAACATAAAATATGAATGTGTATATAACACATTCGTATGTCATAAGTCATATAACTTTATATCAAGTTTATATAAAACGTATTATAAGTATTTAGGATATACCTTAATATACCTAAGTAGTATAGGGGTCACTATGGTACACTTTCATTTTAAATGCAAAATTTCTTAAATTATTTTGCAAATCGTGAAACGCAATAATTATTAAAATATTTTGCAAATCGTGAAACGCAATAATTATTAAAATATTTTTTCATAGAAATTGAAACGCAATATTTCCTAAAATATTTTTTCATAGAAATTGAAACGCAATATTCCTTTAATTATTTTGCAAATCGTGAAACGCAATAATTATTAAAATATTTTTCAAAAAATCTGAAATGCAAAAATACTAAAAATAATTTTCATAGAAATTGAAATGCAAAAAATACTAAAAATATTTTCCTATGGGGGACTTCGGCACACCTGACATTTAAATGCACTAATTACTTAAAATATTTTTTAATAGAATTGTTCTATCAAAAATAAAAATCGAAATAGCATATTTAATTGCAAAATGTATTAAAAAGAAATTGAAAAAATTAATTTAAAAATTAAAAATATAATAAATAATAAAAATAATGGCAAATATAAATTCTATAAGCATATTAGAAAATATGAAAGTCTCTGAGCTTAAGTTAATAGCAAAAGAGGCTAAACTTAAGGGTTATAGTACCCTTAAAAAAAATGATCTTATATCAAGAATTAGGAGAGGTCATACAATTCGCGATTTAACAACTTCTGAGCTTAAGTCAATAGCTCGAAGTTTTGATATAAAACAAATTTACAAACTTAATAAAGAATGTTTAATAAAAAAAATTAAATTAACAAGAAAGCAACAACCTTTTCGTAAATTTCAAGAAGATATATTCAAGGATGAAGTTTTTAATAGTTCATTAAACAATAATCCATTTCAGAAGTTAGAAAAAACAATTTTCACCGAAGAAAATTATTTTAATAGTTCATTAGAAAAAACATCAGATGTTTATGATTTGATAGATATAATTCAAATGAATAAACAAATTCAAAAGAAATTTAAAATACATGAAGCTGAATATAAAATTCGGTTTAGAGAAGCTTTAATAAAAGATCTAAAGCTGTGTAATGCAAAATACAAAATTGATTATGTACATAAAGCTCTAGATTCCATGTTAAAACTTGTCCAAAAAAATTCAAGTTATGAAAAAGGTGATCAAATAAATATTATAGTGATGAATCCAAATTTAAACAATACTATATCTACTGGTATGAAATCTGATAATTTTTTAACAAACTTAAAATCAATTATTGTTAACATATTAACTTCAGCTGAAACAATTGATATAACAGAAACTACTTTTCAAGTTCAATTAGTGAAAATACCAAGAGGTTCAAGGAGAACTAAAATAATTAATTTATCAGAAAATATAAAAACAAAAAAAAGTATTATTGAGATTAATAACGATGATAATTTATGTTGTCCGAGAGCTATTGTTGTTGCATTATCTACTGAAACAAACAATATTTTAGGTCATGAATTAGACCCCAATAAAATTAAACAATTGAAGATAGGTAGAAAAATTCAAAAAGATTTAGCTTTAGAATTATGTAATATGTTACCAGAATATAACGAAGAAGGATTTACATTGAATGATATTAAGAATGTGGAACTTGCACTAGATATTCAAATAAATGTTATTTGTGCTGAAAATTTAAATACTTTAATTTATAAGGGTGAGGATAAAGAAACTAAAATTTATTTGTATAAAAATGGTAATCATTTTGATGTTATTAAATCCGCTAAAGCTTTCTACGGATCGTGTTATTATTGTAATAAGTGCGATAAACCATATCAAAATAAAGATAAACATAAATGTGGTAAAAATAAAAATGAAAATATATGTAAATTGTGCACATATTATGGTGAGAGATTTGAACATTCAATTAGTACAAAAAATAAAATATATTGTGAAAAATGTAATAGATATTGTTATAATCAAGAATGTTTAGATAATCACGAATATGTATGTGCCTATGTATATAAATGTATTGATTGTAATAGAATATTGTTTAGAGATAGGGAACATAAATGTGGTTATAGTAAATGTAGAAATTGTCTAGAAGAAGTGAAAATAAATGAACATCAATGTTATATGCAAAGTAGATTAGCAAAAGGAGGTAAATGCTTAGTAGGATGTACAAAATGTGGAGGTACAAATAAACCATATCAATGTTCTTATACAGAAAAATATTTGTTTTTTGATTATGAAGCTCAACAAGAAACAGGAACTCATATCGCAAATAAAATAATTGCTCATGATTTTGAAGGAAATAAAATTATGTTTGATACAAATGAAGAATTTTGTAAACAAGTAATATCAGAGGAATATAGGGGTTATACATTTATAGCACATTATGCAAAAGGATACGATTCACAATTTATATTGAAATACTTGGTTGATAACACTATGAAACCATTTACAATTTATAATGGTACAAAATTAATGTTATTAGAAATTAAATATTTAAAAATAAGAATAATAGATAGTTCTAATTTTATTCAAGGTCCTCTCAGTAGTTTTCCCAAAACGTTTGGTCTCAAAGAACTGAAAAAAGGTTACTTTCCGCATTTCTTTAATACAGTAGAAAATCAAAATTATATTGGTAAATTACCTGATAAAAAATATTATGGATTCGAAACAATGAAACCAGAGAATAAATTAGAATTTGAAAAATGGTATAATGAAAAAATTAATGAAAATTATATATTTATTTTTAAAGAAGAATTAGAGGCTTACTGTAATTCAGATGTAGATATTTTACGAAGAGGATGTTTAGAATTAAGAAAACAATTTTTGGATATAGCTAGCATTGATCCTTTTTGCTATACAACTATAGCAGGTGTTTGTATGAGTATTTACAGATCAAAATATTTGTTAGAAGATACTATAGCTGTTTTAGATAAAGAAAAAAATGAAAATTATTCAAAACAATCGATAACGTGGTTACAAAATTTTAATAATAAAAATATCTCACATGCATTAAATGGGAACGAAATAATAATAGCAGGAGCTAAAGTAGATGGATTTGATAATAAATCAAAAACGGTTTATCAATATCATGGATGTTTTTGGCACGGTTGTACTAAATGTTATAAAGATCGAGAAACTATAAATAATATAAATCATGAAACAATGGATGATTTGTATCAAAAAACAATTGAAAGAAGTACAGCAATAAAAAAAGCTGGTTATAATCTTGTTGAGCAATGGGAATGTGATTGGATAAATAGCACTACATACAAAAAAATGAAAAAAGCTGATATAGCTGACCCTATTAATCCTAGAGATGCTTTTTTTGGAGGCAGAACAAATGCGACAAAATTAAGGGTAAAAAACACAAAAATGCGTTATATTGATGTATGTAGTTTATATCCAACTGTGAATTATTATGATTATTATCCTGAAGGACATCCCGTAAAAATATTTAATCCAAAAAAATATGATAAAAAATGGTTTGGTTTAATTAAATGTAAAATTTTACCTCCAAGAAATCTTTATCATCCTGTACTTCCAGTTAAAATAAAAATGGAAAAAAGTGAAAAGTTATTATTTCCTTTGTGTTATAAATGTGCTGTAGACCAAAATCAAAGATGTGATCATTCTAAAAATGAAAGACAACTTATAGGAACATGGACAACAGATGAAGTTAATAAAGCTTTGGAAAAAGGATATATTATAACAAAAATTTATGAAGTGTGGCATTTTGAAAAGAAATCAACAGATTTATT